AAAGGACAAGACTTAGGGTTTTCAGGGGTTAAGAACATATATATAGCCCCTGAGNACAGTACCCGGGTTGACCCGACGCGTTAATGAATCGCCCAGCTCGAGTCAACGGTTGACCCAGGAAAGTCAACAAAATGCATTAAATATCGGTCACTCCATATCAGGGAAGTGACCGATTTCCATTGCCTATCCAGCGCGTCCAACAGCTCTCGAGTCGCGACACGAACCTCTTGATGGGGGCAGTATATCGGTCTTCCTCATCGGTCTGTATCGATATCGGGAGATATCGGTTTCTTCAGCTTATTCTTCAACCAGTTTGATGCACCTGGTCCAACAGTCGGAGAGTCTTGATTCTCTATCATAACAAAGGGATAACCTGGGACATCTGTGCATAGATTTAAGGTGCACTAACGTCTTGATTCTCACCCAAATCATGAACTTCAGTAGGTTTGTTGAGACTCCATTCTTCTGCTATTCCAAGTGCTTGTCACCGGCGTTCCTTGATGACTCTTGACTAATTACTGCTCCACTGCTACCTGTTTGATCTGGAACCTCGTAATTCCTCTGCTCATCTACTCCTATGTACTCCACTCCAATCCTCTAGGCTCTATGTAAGCCGGATATCTCCATTTAAACATAAATACCACTTGAAAAAGGGTAAAAAAAAGAGAAATATGTACAAGTCTATCCTAGGACTCTAAGATGCAAATGTGAACTAAACTATGGCTAAATGGTGCCTAAATGATGCAGAATGAAGCTAAACAGAAGATAAAGGTATGCAAATATGTACACATATCACAAATCCGAGTCTAACATTATTTCTTCTTGCTAACTTTTTTGTTAACTCTTGAAATTTTTATCAAGTAGATTTAACATAGCTTTGTGTTGAAAACTTTTGAACTCAGTTTTGCGAATCCATTGTTAAAATTTTCACCCAACTGTGTCATACACAAGGAAAATAATCTTTGGATAACACCAATGCATGAGATCATATATTTTTCTCGCTTTAAATATGTCATCTCCTTCTGCTTTTCATTTTGTATTATTGTCTCTCTGATCTTAATAGTCCATCTCATATTTGAACAACATGTAAACAAAACAAACATAATTAATAATAACAAAAAGAATATAA